GTAGAACCTTCGGGCAGACTACTTAAATTAGACAATGACTAAAGTTGTATGAGTGGCTAGTTGTATACTCTTTCTATGGTTGCCCTCTGTGGTTGTAATGCAACCATTAGCTGAATGTACTATCAATAAAATCCCGAGTCACAAGTACTTACCTTAATATTTAAAAAAAAAAAACTATTGTGTAACTCAAAATCTTAAAAAATATAATCTTAATAAAGTTGATTAATTTGATTCTTCAAAAAAATAGTCTTTGGAATCACCTATCTAAGTACTTAATAAATATTCTTCATATTTAAGAAAAAAAAAATATAAAAAAACATTTTAACTTTTTATCTAGCAATGTTATAAGATCTTATTCTTTTATTTGAATGGCTTAATTTAAAAAAAAAAATATTCTTTTGAAAAACTCAAGCTAAATAAATGTGTCTACTAAATAGAGATTCTAGAAAATTAAATTTTATTTGTTCTAGAAATCAAATGTAATACTATTGATATAATGTATAACATATTTGATGGACAATTTGTGTAATCTATCTTTATTTAGTGATGACTTATTACTTTTGCCATATAAGCCATATTAAAATTATGTTATATTTTTTTAAATTGCAATTCCTCAATAAATATTTAAAAATTTTTAAAAAAAAAATCATAACTTTGTAGAACTTATATAGAACTACAATAGTACGATTTTATTTTTTGCAAAATTTAAATATTTTATTAAGAAATTATAACTTTAGATGCTTTTAGATGATTTGCACCATAAAACGAATTTATATAAATTTATTATAACATTCCTTGATATATAGTAGAAATAATAAAAATAAAATAAAAGTTGCTAATTCAGAGGTCAGCTATATAACAGTTACACAAAGCACAGTATATATATGATTTTATGATTTAAAGTTCTCTGTAATATAGTTAATGCTCTCTCAACTTAATTTTAAAATTCTTAGTACTGAATAAGATTTAACCTGTTGCATTTTATCAACACCAATTTCAATAAAAAGCTCATATATTTTTCGAACTCTTTTTATTTGTTTTCAACATATAGTATCATTAATCTCTTTAGGCAATTGCTCTTTTACTTCTTTATCTACTTTACTTTGGGCCTTATGATCTCGATATTTTTTTTATTTTTATAATAATTTAAGCGATCAGATAACTTTCTACCAAATTCAAAATAACAATTTAAAACCTTTTGACTTGCAATATCATTATTAGCTTTGGCTTTAACAATTTCTTTGTAAAGATAAGTATAACTATCTTTAGATAACTGAAAAGCAAATATTAAATCTTTATTAACACTATCATCTTTTAATTTTTTGATAAGTTTTTTTACTGTAAAGGGTTCAATCTTCTTAGTAGTTAACTTCTGTCTTTTATTAGATTTATCTGATGATTCTATAATATATTTTTTTTGTGTTCTATTTTCATAAAGTAGAAGGTCTTTTTGACCTAATAATGGTGATACAGCTATTGGAGAACCTAATCCAAAGTCATTGCCTAATATTTCTGCAAGAGCAGAAGTTCTACTAAACTGAGATGATAATTCAGAAAACCTTTATTCAGATACTACTAGATCAATGATTTTATTACAATCAGATAAAGGGCATTTGTTTTCTGTTGTAAGTAAAAATTTTTTTTTTATACATTTTCTATGATATATATGTCTATATAAAAATATTGTAAATGATTCGAAATTAATAGATAATATTTTGTTTTCACATAGTTTACATAGTGGCAATTCTGTAACAATAATATCTTGTACTATGTTATATTTTGTTTCTTTTAAAATATTAAAAATAAAGTTTTGAAGATTAGTAAGAGACATAATAATGATTAAATACCAGATAAGTTTTTAACAACGAAATTACTTATACTTAGCTTTTTTATATAGTTTATTTCTTATGACTAACAAACCTAATTTGCAGATTTTTAAAAAACTAATTTTGGATTTGGTGATCAATTTATTCATGAATTATTTAGTATAAAAAAAATTGCTCAATTTTTGCTAGCAATCATGGATAAATAATTTAGCTTAAAGATAAACTCAAAGGGTTATTGCTCTGCAATAGGTGTGGTTAGTAAGTTGGTTAGTACTGAAATACTTCTATGCTGATCTCCAATTTATGAATTTAAAACACATGACATCACTCCACTGAGGCTCATTATAACATTATGTAATTTTGAAGTTATAATATGGTTTTGCATTTTCTTTGAATCTTTTATTTTAAAAAGCTTAAGATATAACAGATATAACTAAGGTGTTTAGCTAAACTGAGACTCTATAGAGATCTATCTGTAAAGATAACAGCATTAAGTTAGTATTAAATAAAGTTTTAAAGCCTTGTAGTTTAGTATTTAGAGTTATTTATCTTTTGGCTATATTAAATAAGTTTTAGTTATTCTAAAAGTTTATTTTCTCTCTTTTTGAATTTTTTTTGTTATATTTTAGTTAATAGATTCAATATTTTAGTACCAATTTTTTGTTTACTTTTGTTTTCTAATAATTTACAAAAAGAGTTTTTTTTTTAATCTGAAAAGATTTGTTTTTTCTTTGTATATACATTTTTATTACTATTGTTATAGGTGAAAGCCTTCTTAATGTTTATACTATAATAATGACATGATACAGAAAATCTTTTATAGGTATATGCAATATCTAAGAAAGAAGTATAGCTTTTGTTAAACATTGTCAAGAAACTATACTTTTTTCTAAAACAGTTCAGGAAAGCTAATATAATACTAATAACTTTATTTTATTTTACTAAGAAAGAATAAACCTTGCCTGTAGGAATTATTTTAAAGGAGTATTAATGCAGTTTATAGTCAAAAGCTATTTATTAAAGTAATAACAAAAAGGGCTATTCTTAGGTTTCTGTTTCTAAAGAATCCTAAGATATGTTTACAATATTAAAGAGAAGAGGAGTTTCTGTTACTTAATCACACTTGAGAAATTTAACAAGGTTTATATATCTGTGAACTAAGTGGCTAAGCAGTCAAGCAACTAAGCAACTAAGCATTAAGTAACTAAGCAACTAAGCAACTAAGTGATTACTAAGTAACCAGAAGGTTCTAGTAACTAATGACTAATGATTACTAAGTGTCTAATTACTAAGTAACTAAATGACTAAGCAACTAAGCAACTAAGTAATTACTAATTAACTAAAAAGTTCTAGCAACTTTCAATAATAATAATAATATAATAATAAAATAACTAATATTAAATAATAATAATATATAATATAACAATAAAATAATAATAAATTATTTTATAACATTCTGTCTTTTTTAAAAATTTACTTTATAAATTTTATGTTCTAATCAATTTAAAAAGTTGAGTGTACTTATCATTTAGCAACTTAATAATATATATTGCAGTTATATACTTCAACTGCAAGGTTATTTCTTTTGGTTATAACCTGAGAATTTCATATATTCTGAAAGTATCTTTTCAAGTATTTTTTGCTCTTCTTGTTACTTAAACATTCTGAATAAGGTCTTTAATCTTGGAAGGATTGTTGGACCTTAAAATTATTTGTCCTAAGTAGTAGTAAGCTTTAATTTTCTTGTTGAAGAAGACTAACTTTGCAAAATGTAATACTATGTATAATAGTGATATTACAGAAGATTCTGTTATACAAAATATTACACATATAAGTCTTTAAAGATAAGACAATACTAACATCTTTGCATCCAACTTGAAAAGTACTTAATTGAAAGGGTGATACTAAGGTAATACATACTGGAATAGTAAGAGAAGTAGTACATGCATAAAAGATCTGTGACAAAGAATTAGCCTTATCAAGATTGGAAGCATCTTTGTCACTGTGAAATAACTAGAAATAGAAAATAGCTATACATATAGAGAAGTTGTAGTCTGTTTTGTATATTTAAAGATACTAAATTAGAGCTCTAGCCATATTTATAAGAAGCCTATGACAAAACAAGTGAAACATACTAACAAAAATGCTATACTAATCAAAGTTGAAATACTTAAATTGAAAGTAATCTTTGTGAACAAGTACAAGGCATCTGTAAGAATACAGATTTATACAAATAATTGTATAAGTTAGTGTATACAAAGAGATGCAAACTAGCTTTGGATAGTGCAAATACAAGATAAGTTCTTATGTGTTCAAATAAAAAGTGAACATCAACCAATTGCTAAAAGAAAATAAAATACTATTTCTGAAATATAGTTTTATCTATATTATAAAAAGAAGTACTTAAAAGGCAGATTAGATGCATAATCTGTTAGAATAATGCTAAGACCAAGAAGAGTTACAAACCAGTAGCAGTAGCAGATACTTGACTTGAGATATGTGCTACCAGTATCTAAATTGAAAAGTTAGCAGTAATAGCAGAAATCTGGTTTAAAATACATGCTAAAGAGGCACCTTTTAGACAAACCAAAGATGGAAGCTCAAAAGGAGCAAATAATCAGATAAACCAATTTGGGAGTTGTAAAAAATAGATTATGAGACATGAAAGAAATATGCAAGTTATCTAATATAATCAGTAATAAAACAAAAATCTAGATTAGATATGAGTAAAATATAATACAAAGCTTTAATAAGTTTAGATCACAGATAAAGATGTTTGAGTCTTATATTTAAATAAATATATAGTGATAGATAATGTATAATAAAAATTGTACTAGCTATAACCAATATACTAATAAAAACTTAAAGGCATAACCTTACTTTAACATTAAAAAAAAAAAAACTTTAATAAATTAAAAGTTTTTTAATAAAGTTTATAAAATAGATCTTTGAAAATATTTTTTATTAAGGGTTAGACTTCATAGTTTAATTGTTAAGCTTCCAACTTTTCACAAATAAGGTCAATGGTTTAAGTTAGGCTAGAGGCAAAAATTTAAGAATTTTAACTCTGTAATCTAATTTAGGAGTCAAATTTAATATAAAGCCCTGTAGTAAGTTCCAAAATAAAGTACAAAAATAAATTAGAAATTCTCAAAAAGCTATTGACTCTGCAAAAAAAAAGCACTATGTATAACAGTAGCATTACAGAAAGTTTTATTATATAAAGGTTGCATAAGTAAGTCCTTTTGGAGATAAGGCAGCACTAACATCTCTGTATCTAACTTGCAAAGTACTTGATTAAAAGAGTAATACTAATATAGCTAAAACTGAAATAGTGAATGAAGCAATGCATGCAAAAAAAATCTGTAATAAAGAATTGATCTAACCAAAATTAAAACATCTTTGGCAGATACTATAAACCCTTAAAAAGCAAGACAATAGTCATACATCACAACATTATTAATAGTTATCATACTTATATATAATAAGTCAAGATTTCAGATCTCTTTGCAATACCAAATTAGAAGTACAATAGTATAACAACTATGAGAATATACAAAAAAGAATATATGATAATTGCAAATGGTAATCCAAAATCTTAATAAATCTAGCTATGCTAATTGATACTAATATATAAAAAGCTGTATATACTAAATTAGTAACAAGAAAAGCAAGAAACCACTAAAGTTAACTAATTTGAAAAAAGAGAAAGATTACTACAAGAAGTAGTTAAAGGAACTATAATCAAATAGAATTAGAGAATATAGTATTACAAGGTAGCTACAACCTTATCTTAATTAGTAACAATAGTTAAAATTCAATAGTACAAGTCTTAATTTAAAAAAGTGTAAATATAATATCATGTTGGATGTCTATATAGTAATATAGTAGCACAAATAAAATGTAATATCTCTAATGTATTAATCTAGTATTAATTAAATAAAGTATTATGATTGGCATTAAAAAAAACAAAAAAAACATAATAATAATAATAATAATAATAATAATATATTTTTATCTATACATACTTATGTCTATGTAAAATAGCAGATTACATCCTAATATCTGTCTACCGATTGGACAGGCTATTAGGAAAATCAATATATAGTCAACACTCTGGATTAATCATAGCACATCTTACAATCATATT